TCGATGTTATAAAACGTGTCTTTGTGTATGATTCAACAAGTAGTAGAACAAGCCATATGAGTCGAAGTTTATCCATTCCTTTTACCTTCGGGATAAAAGCGATATCTGTGGGCCCCTCGATGATTTGATGATGACAAATGGAAGTGCTCGGCCGGGCCAGGACTGATTTGATTTGTTCAATTAGTCAGTCGTCATAAATCGGAAATCGGGAAACAACTAATGGACAGAGAGAATGATTATAATCCATGTCTCAGTCCATATGATATCTAGAATGGAGGAATATATGATCCCTTATCTAATGGACAAGTCATTGACAGATCAGAGTTCATCTACAAGGTCAGAGTTCGACAGAAGCTTTTGAGAGCTACGATTGCTAGTTGGTTCCTGAAGTCATACGCAATAATAGTTTTAGACTTATCCAAGTGGGAGACTGTTGGATTAATGTCTAAGTCCATAACTATAATTGGTAAGACTTGACCCGACCCGGCATGGTCCATTTGGGTTGCATGGCATCATGCACTTGGATAGACTATAATGAGAGAAATAAGACACTTACGGTTATTAATATATTATAAGTTCTAGTATATTAATAATAAGAATAATGAGATTATTTAATTAGTATTGATCAAGAATTAATCTAGAATTAATTAAGTGATCAAAAGAAGACTAATTAAATATATGGGTTGATTGTGTAAATCATTCATTCTTATATATGTGGGCTTGTGATCCAAGATTCCTTATGTTGGACTAAGTCCATGGGGTGACCCATGGATACTCCATGGAGGTTAAAATCCATGGAGCATAAGGAATGGGTAAAGTCATGAGTTACATGGTGTAACCCTAATAGCCACCATATAAAAGAAACCCATGGCTCAAGAAATCGTGAATATATAACTAACACTATGTGTGTGTATGAGGGCTAGACGATTTCATGAAGTGTTCTAATTTCTCTCTAAGTTATTCCAAGTGCTTATGGTGTTGTGTGAACCATTTGAGGTGTCACACTTGGGGCACTAGGCACTCAAGCTTCATGAAGACAAGCACTATCAAAGAGGTATGTATTCTATTTTGTTATATCCATTATTTTGTATGCTAGATTAGGATAATACCTTGGATGTTCATATTTGCATGTATAATAGAGAAAACATGGATCCAAGGTATTTAGGGTTGCATGTACACTTAGGAGTGTTAGAATGCTCATAACCCAACAGTTAGTGCCTCTGGTTCTTCCTGATAAACTGCGGATCAAAAAGTGGCACACAAACTGCCATACCGCAGGGAGCTGGTTCTTCTTGAACTCGCCAATACCCTTGATCTTCTTTTAGTATTCCATTTGATACAGAGTGGTGGTGATATCAGTGACACTTGGTGAGAAAAATTTGGTTGATGGATGCACCAGGAGATTAATTGCAGTAAGAAATCTGTCTTTGGTCAAGATGACCAAAGAATCATCCACCAAGTTCAGATGAACTTCCTGCAGATTGGAGAGGGGTTGATACGTTGAAAACGCACATTTGTACAATGTCAAGACGGGAACCACATCGGTGGATGAGTCGAACGGTCCAAATAGAGGGTGATTGGAGATGAACTTGATCATGAGACGGATGGAATCATTGTGAGTAGAATGATCATAAAAAACTGCCCTAAATTTGCTAGATGCAATTGAAGGAGATTGGTTGCTTGTAGCAGAGTCGGAACCAGTTGGTTGAACAGAGACTGAGGGTTTCAATTGCTTCTTTTACTCCTTCCTATGTGGGACCCAAACTAGAATCCCTTCCTAGGTTTTTTACTCCTTCCTATGTGGGATAGGAGGCCAATAACGAAATTCACTCCTTTTCCCATGTGGGATGGAGTGATTTTCATCAACCCCAAATTCCACAAGGGTTATAGAACATTCCTAATTAACCAACTATCGATTAATGAATATTCAACCCTTTAATTAATTAAACTGTTAATTAATTCCCAAAATATATTTCCAATTAGTTTTTAATTGTTTATTAACCATTACAACTAATAAACCAATTTCTCATTTATTTATTCTACTTAATTTGGGTCTTGAGGGTAACCCAAAAGGACCCTTTTATTATCAGAAATATCACCAATAATTAATGACCTTGGACACTCTTTCCAACACTCGAGCTCTCGGGCCTCCGCCCTACCTTGGCATCCATTTATGATCCTCAAAGTAGTCGAGACTAGATCCTGCACTGGCCTGGCAGCAAGCAAGGGACACTAGGCCTTCACATGACCCACCTGATCACAATTGTAACAAATCATGGTACTCGGTACTGGGGTCTGCTAGCGACACTCCCTCATATAGTGCCCCTCAGTGCCATACTTGTGCTAGATAGAAGAAAAAGATCGACAAACACACTCATGAACCTTGCTGCATTTGCCATAAGTGCGGCCCTTTTGACCTCGTGATCATGAATCGGCGAGATTGAACTGCTTTGTTGTAGGCTGGGACTCAAATGGAGCCTAATGTTGGTCTCTGGTCTAGGTCACTATCTCAATCTCTCTCATCCTAGCAAAATCCTGGAGCTTGGAGAGGGTATTGTATCGTTGAGTAGACACAAAAGGTCGAATATCCATCTTGAGCAATCTTAATTACCAAGTCATCTGAGCCTGCTCCGTAGCAACAAACTCAGGGCAGAAAAGAGCCCTCTCCGTGAACATCTTGGTGATCTGTGTCACCGTCTCAGTCGCCTGCCTCAAGTCTAAGTACTCATGAGCCAACCCCTCCCTCTACACCAGGGGAACATACCTCGTGCAAAACATCTAAGGGAACTGGTCCAAGGTTATAGCAGTCCTCTACTCAGGAGTGTAGGAACCGGTCACCAAGTTCCACGAATCCTTCACGCCCAGTTGAAGGAGGTTCAAAGTGTAGTTGACCTTTTGGTCATCTGGGCACAAGCATGTGAAGAAACAACCCTCCACATCAGAAAACCATATCATCACCACAATCGGGTCCTTGACCTCATAAAACTTTGGGGGCTTCATGTTGTTGAAGTCTTGATACTGGCATAATCTCCCTCCATGAATCCCTATAGTAGCAATAGCCATGGTAGTTGAGGTAGTAGCCTCAATCACAGTGGCGTACCACTAATAAAACAACTCGATCATATCAGTCTTAATAGAACCAAAAACTCATGGATGGAACCCTAAACAGTAGCAACTACCTAAGTAGCGATCAACTTCCGGATGCCATCATATGTCGATCCCGGCTTATAAGGGTCACTAGCTCCAGAACCAGATCTTCTCATGAACACCATACTGAAAATATACCAAAATATATTAGAAAATGCTATAATTCCTTCTATACAATCATCGGAGAGAGAGGCCATACCCTCGGGGTTTGTGACTTCCTTGTTATACATATAGGTCTTATGCTTTTAGTAGTACGGGCCCATACTACCTTCTACACCTACCCATATTTGTCTCAATGGATCATTACAAACTAACCAGAAATAAACCCTCAACTAGGATATGCATACATCCTATACTCTTTCTCTTTCTTTTTTTTTTTCTCTCTCTCTCTCTCTATCTATCTATCTATCTATCTCTTGAGAGTGGCTAAGCATTCCACATTTGACTGATTACTGACATACTCACTCATGAAACTTCCACCAACCCTGTAACTACTCGTGCATGCTAATCGTACATAATACTGGATTCCATAGACAGTCAAATACCCAATTCTATCCTAAGACCACAACCAAATAATGAATAGGAAATATGGCTAAACCAAACATTCTCAGGCTATAAAATCTTAGTTTTATACAACTATGATGCACACAGTATGAAACTACAGTAATGATGTCAAATTGATCTAGAATATCTAAAGTCCTCCTAGTCTATCAGGTATCATACATCAAACAATTCTATCATACAATTATTGGAGATCCTTAGCCTATTGCTAGCATGTAGTTCTATAATAAGCATCATAACATATAACAATGTGGGTATTTTGGGGTATACTTTTCTTTCTTCGGTTGATCGTACACATCTTGCCATTCCTTGGTTACTTTTAAAAAAAATTGAAAATCAATTTGAAAACTTTTATATATCCTTAGTTTGAGTTTGGATTCACACGAATTCTCATCGAATTTTTAAGGTCACACTTTATGATCTGATGATTCAAACACCTTACACGCTGACCGCCACTGCCAACACCAACACCAACATCAGAGCTAGCATCTCAAGACCTTATGAGCATCAATGTCTAGAAAGTAATCTTATGTAGTCTTTTTTTATAATAGGCAATTATATATATATATATAGATATATATATATATATATATATATATATATATATATATATAATAGATAGCATATTTAATATCTTGGTGATAAGGATCTGTTTATATGTAGATTAGATACAATCTCTTGATTAAAGGTATATACTAGTACAGTTTATTATATTCAACATTAGGGTGAAACCTAACGTTAACATATTGTTGACTGTCTCTGTGACATTCGTTCTCTTTATGAGAACAACCCCTTTCTTGGTGAAAGACATCTTTGTGATTATTTTGTGTTCTTTACTTTTCTGTTATTTATTTGGTTTAGTTAGCTCGTTCTTTATTAATTATAATTGAAGTGTATCCGATCGATACAAACCTTCAATTGGTATCAGAGCAAGCTTTTGATACACTCAAGTAATTATGTCATCGTTTTACTATCCTAAATCGTTTGCTCTTAACACGATCCCTCCTTTTGATAAACTCAACCTTACTGCTTAGAAATCAAAGGCCATGGACGTTCTCAAGATCATAGACTATGACATCCTTGACATCATGAACAACGATCCCATCATCGTTATGCATCAATCATCTAATGATTGTGCATACAATAGTGAGTCAAAGAAGAAATCTGTACCAGAATACAACAAGGAAGAAAAAAGGGTGTTAAATCTCGATGTAAAGGCGAGAGTTTCTATTGGAAACTCACTCCCATTTTTTATCTATCTTTTGGTTCAAAATTTCTCAACTGCACAAGAGATGAGGAACGCATTATCATATGTGTTTGATGATGAAAATGTATTAGATGACAAAGCTCCAAAAGGTAAGTGTCTCATGGATCAAATTTTTGAATCTCATACTAATATATCGAATGATAACATTGGCACTCTTGACACTAACATTTCTCAAGCTGCTACAGACACTAAGTCTGACTGGGAGTCAACATCAATGTATCAGGTAAAAAATCTTGTTAACTATTCTTCCATAAAAAAAAACATTGAAAAAGCTGACATGATTGATCACTTCCATTTCGACTTAACTATTTCAAACAAAGAAAGATCTTCTTTAAAAATTGAGTTAAAAAACTCAAAGAAAAACTCTCCTCTACTGAAAGATCTATTTCTCTTTTAGAAAAGGAAAACACTTGTATCTCACTTACCAATAATTTTCTTCAATTTGTAAAGGAAAATTTTGTTGATCATGCTAGATGCACTTAACTTATTTTAAAATAATTGGCCTCTTCTCACTATAATTTCATGAGAATTATTAATGATCAGATTCCTGTTCAATGTGAGAAAATTCTTGGAGGCGATATAGAAGGTGTTGTCTCCTAAATAAAAAGGGTAGAGACTAAACAAACCTTTTATAGCGCTAATTGTCTACAGAAAGACTTTAAAAGTATATTTTTAAGCACTTGTATTATAAGTCAAACTTTAATTTATACTCATTGTGTTACTGAATCTAATGGTAACACAAAATGTGTATCTCAGTTATCTATTCTTGATCCTTACCACCAACCTCCTCATCGTGAGTATGTTCTGCCCTCCACCATGACTTTGCTGAAAATTTCTATATCTAATTCCTTAGTGCTCCATTAGCAACTCTCAACCTGGAGACCAATCAATGTCTTGTAGTCCATATAACTCTTTAATATCTCATGAGCCTCATGACAAAGTGTCATCTGAGTATACCATCAACGACATTCCTTATTCCTACTATTAAATATCGCGATAATGGCAAAGGAGTTACGAAGGGATATGGAACTATCAAGTGCAGTTATGTTGTATTCAAGAATGTCTCCTATGTGACAGGTCTTCAGCACAATCTCATTTTAGCCAGCCAACTATGTGATGCTGGTTATGAAATTTCCTTTAAAAAGAAAGAAGGAAAAGTTGTTGATAAAAAGAATGTATCTGTTCTGAATGCAAATCAATAGAATGAAATTTATGTCCTGGACATGTTCTCTACTAACAACTCTCTTCGTTACTCTTCTTCTCTTGTGATCAGTCTCATCTAAATTGGTTGTGGCACAAAAGGTTATCTCACTTGAAGTTCAAGAACATATAAAAGTTTTATAGGAATTAGCTTATGAGAGGAATTCCTAAGATAACAAATTTCAAAGATAAAATGTGCTTAACGTGTGAAAAGGAAAGAAAACCAAGTCATCATTCAAACCAAAGTCCCGTTCTTCCATTATGAAACCTCTTCATCTTCTCCACATGGACCTTTTTGAACTGATCCCAATTAATTCAAGGGTTGGGAAAAAGTATACTCCCATTATCGTAGATGAATTTTCAAGATTTTGCTAAGTAGTCTATTTAAGAAAGAAGAGTCATGTTGCTGATGAAATCATTTCACTCATTAAGAAATGGGAAGTTCTTTATGATCATAAAGTCAGGAATTTACATAATGATCATGGAACTGAATTTAGAAATTCCTCATTGGAAGAATTTATCTGAATCGCAGGACTTTCTCAGAACTTCTCTACTGTTAGAACTCCCCAACAAAATGACATTGTTGAAAGAAGAAATAGAACTCTTATTGAAGTTGGAAGAACTATGGTCATTGAAGTTGGTCTTCCTCTATTATTTTGGGTTGAAGCTGTCAACACAACATGTTATTGTTGGATTAATGTCTAAGTCCATAACTATAATTGGTAAGACTTGACCCGACCCGGCATGGTCCATTTGGGTTGCATACCATCATGCACTTGGATAGACTAAATGAGAGAAATAAGACACTTATGGTTATTAATATATTATAAGTTCTAGTATATTAATAATAAGAATAATGAGATTATTTAATTAGTATTGATCAAGAATTAATCTAGCATTAATTGAGTGATCAAAAGAAGACTAATTAAATATGTGGGTTGATTGTGTAAATCATCCATACTTGTATAGTGGGCTAATGCTCCATGGATTATCTAGTTGGGCCAAAACCCATATGATGCTCCATGGATGCTCCATGGTGTATTTGAACCCATGGATCCAAGGAAATGGAAAGTCATGACAATTAGGGTTTACCCTAATTGTATAACTATATAAGCATCTTATTCTTGAGGAAAATCGGCCACTAGTGAGAGTAAGAAAGGGCTAGCCGATTTCATGAAGTGTAGAATTCTCTCTAAGTTATTCTAAGTGTTTTGATGATTGTGAACCATTTGAGGTGTCACACTTGGGGCACTAGGCACTCAAGCTTCATGAAGACAAGCTCCATCAAAGAGGTATGTATTCTATCTTGTTATATTGATAGTTTGTATGCTAGTTTAGGATAATACCTTGGATATTCATATTTGCATGTATAATAGAGAAAACATAGATCCAAGGTATTTAGGGTTGCATGTACACTTAGGAGTGTTAGAATGCTCATAACCCAACAGTGGTATCAGAGCCTAGGCTTGTTTTCTTGTTATACCTGCAATAGAAGCTGAAAAATCGAAATTGGTGCTGTCAGCCCAGCAGACTCGCCGAGTCCATGAAGGGACTCGACGAGTCCAAGGCAAAATGCATCCAACTCGCCAAGTTATGTTCATGCACTCGACGAGTTGGACCCATACAACATATTTTCGAGGTTTTTGGCTAGAAATGGACTAGGAGCATTACCCTAAGTTGTTTTTGAACTTATAAACTTGTTTTTTTTTTTAATGTGGTAATGTTCATGCTAATCCATTTTCAAAGATAATTGTCAATAGATTCATGTTTTGTATTAGTTTAAAGACTAATTACATGAAAAAGTTTGATTTGAATTATCTTGTTCTTATGAGTTGCTTAGATTAATAGAAAAGTTAATTGAAATAGTTGTTTTCAATCCATTTTAATCTAAGAGTTGAGTATAAAATGTGTTTGTGTAACTTGTCCTCAAGTTACATGAAGAGTCACATTAAAGACTCATAAAACTCATAAAATTGGCAAAGGTTACAAAAAATGAAGAGTCTAGTTCTAATTAATTGGAGTTATGACTCCATAATTTGTCCTCAAGTTATGGAGGACCAAGAGTCTCTTCATTAAATAAATAAATAAAAATGTAACCTTAATTAATTCCATAAGTTATAAAAATAAAGAAAAGTTAATTCTTTTATTAGTTTAAAGTCTTCCATAAGTTATGGAACTTGAAGAGTTTTTGGATTAAAACTACTTTAAACACATAAGTTATGGAATTAATTAGTTTTGAATAGTTTCAAAACTTGCCCTCAAGTTTTGGAATTTGTAAAGTTTTTCTCTGATGAATACTTTAATTCCAAGTTAGCCCTTAGAATTTTAAGAGTTAAAATTCAACCCTTATACTTTATAATATTATAAGTTAATAATAATATATATGTATAAGAGTAAAGTCAGTCTTACCGCTAGTACGCCTCATTCACGAAGTCGGTCTATAAGGTGGGTATAAGGTTGTTGCCTATAAAATGGCAGCTTAATGGGTGTCCACTCTCACCCACCGCTTGCTTGACCGGTGGAGGGTCGTTAGCCGAACGGGTTTGACAGGACTATAATTCTCCCTTCATTAAAAGTATTAATGATAAATACTAAGTAACTAAACTCTTAATAATTCCCAATCTTAGTTACTTAGGAAAATGTGAATAAGGTGCTAATCCATGAAATTACACTTCACACTTTGTCTAAGTCGTTAGTGGAGCGTGTGTGGTTAACCGGCACACTAACTTCGACTTAACAAGGTAGGTGAAGGGTGACTTAATATTTATCATAGTATCGATGGAGCGTGTGTGGTTAACCGGCACATCGATTGAGGGGTAATTTATTAAGGGTACCAAGTAATTTGCATGGTTACTTCACACCTTGTTTTGTGATCCTCGGCATCCCAGTCACAAAACCTGAAGGGCACACTCGAGATTGAAACATGCCATTGAACAGTTCAATGAATCTCAAAAGATCTAGGAGTTTCAAAAACCAATTAAAACCCAATAATACATTTCGTTTATCTTGGTGGAAATTGGTGAATCGTCATTCACCTACCTTCAAATTGTTTTATAGCTTGGATTACGGCATACCTCTTCTAAGTTATAAAATAGTTGTTGGGTCCTAGCCTTAATATTTCATATTGGGTGTCATATTAAGGACTTTAAGATCAACTATCTTGAATATCTCCCAAAACATGTCTGGTTTAGACATTTATGATCTTCCCAAATCTCTTGAAACAAGCTTTCCTAAATGAAGATGATGTCCCATGGAAATCATACTTCTTTCACCTCCTCCAATTATTCTCCCTACCCACAAGTTCTTAAAAAGTTTAAGGTCACTCGAGCCCTATTGGCAAGTGAAGGTCTAGGTGTGGTCACATCTTGGAGATGTAGTCACATATTGACAAGCCGGGAGAGTTGGGTGTCAAAGTCTTGAGAAAGTTGGTGGTTCAACTACTCTCTAAGTCACATAGTGAGTTCTTTTGGAACACCTATGAAACAGACTATGACAATACCCTTAATGATCTTATCTATTTGTTAAGATCAACTTCCTGAAACTTTATGGACATTGACAATGGTGACACTGGAAATACGAAAAAAACATTCTCTTCCCAAGGAAAGGGATTGACCATAGTCAACTAGGTTGACCAAATGGTAAAGAGAAAAGGTTAAGTCTGTAATAGTCCTGTGTACCATTATCAAAGGGTCCATATGTTTATATTGCCAAAGGAAGGGTCATTAGTTGCGAAGCTGCCAAATTTACCTAAGGATGTTAAAGTCAATAAGTTTGACTCTACTTCAGGTAAAGTCCACTATCTAACTCTGTTAAGTTTCTATTCTGAGATTCCTGATACATGATGTGACTGGGTCACATGGTAATGTTTTAAGAATCAAAGAAAAGTAAGGAACTTAAAGAAAGAATATGCTGAATCTGATCGCATAGATGGATTTCTATCGCGTAGTTTGAAAATCGGATTCTTGAGCTACTTCTTAGGAGTTATGAGATATTGCTAAGGAATAGATAACAACAAGTTTTCATATGGATTGTAAGGATAAGTTTTTCCGCATAGTTTTAAAATAAAAGAAAATTTTGATTTTATTTATTTTAAAATATCCTTACAATGGCATTTGAGGAAAAATTGTTGCTTATATGATTCCATTAATAGCAAGAGTGGAAATATGAAATTGATTCCTTCATTTGTGGTAATGTCTAAATTTACCAAATAAGGAAAGATTCTCATCACCAAGTCTCAATTGGACCGAAACTTGGAATCATGCAAGTTGTATAGCATGATGAATGAGAACTTTCAAGTATTGGAAAAATTAAGACTAATTACTTGTTCACATGGATGTGTGAGTCAAGTAATGGACTAAGGGATCGAGTACATAGTCATGTGCACTGATTAAGTCCACCAC